GTAGGGCCGAAGCAGCTGCAGGCGGGACCGCTTCAGCGGCAGGTCGGGGCCGTGGCAGCTGCAGAGCGGGGCCGTATCAGCGGCAGGTCGGGGCCGAGGCAGAGGGACGCGCGCGGCTCGGCGCGGGCTGCGCTGACAGCGCGCTGGGCTGCTGCAGGCCGCGCGCGGCCGCGTTAGGTAGTGGCGAGCCGCGCGCGGCTCGGCGCGGGCTGCTGCGAGCCGCGCGTGGGCTGCAGCGGGCGGCGCGCGGGCCTCGCGAGGCAGGAGTAGGCCCGCGCGCGGCGCTACGCGGGCTGCGTGGGCTCGGCGCGGGCTGCGCGCGGCTGCAGCGGGCTGCGCGCGGCTCGGTGCGGGCTGCGCGCGGCTGCAGCGGGCTGCTCGCGGCTCAGTACGGGCTGCGCGCGGCTGCAGCGGGCTGCGCGCGGCTCGGTGCGGGCTGCGCGCGGCTGCAGCGGGCTGCGCGCGGCTCGGTGCGGGCTGCGCGCGGCTGCTGCGGGCTGCGCGGGCTCTGTGCGGGCTGCGCGCGGCTGCAGCGGGCTGCGCGCGGCTCTGTGCGGGCTGCACGGGCTCAGTGGGGGCAGCGCGCGGTAGCAACGGGCTGCGCGCGGCTCGGTGCGGGCTGCGCAGGCCTGGAGGGCGTGTAGGGGCGGCGCGCGGGCCTTACGGGCCTTTAGGGGCAGCGCGCTGGCCTAGGGCAGCAGGAGGCAGCGCTAGGGCTGCTGGACGGCTCGCGTAGTGCAGCACGTCACAAGGCAAGGCAAGGCAGGCAGGTACGTGGGGTAGCGCGGTAACCGCAGTGGTAGGTGGGCCCGAAAAAAAAAGCGGTCCTACGGACCTTAGTGCTCTGAAACCATGTTAGAATCTGACAGCAGGAATGAATGCATTGATCAAGAGTTGGGTACATAAGCTAACCCTAACATTGGGTTGTACCCCATATGGGCTACCCCACTAGCAGCCTACACAAACACAATATGCATAGTTTGACAGCCGCAACGGTTGTGTGGGCGAAATCAGGAGGTCGCGTCGCGGTATTGAACCCCGTGGTGGCAACAAGAGCAATCAAGCGTGCACTGTCTGACAGCCTTTCGCCCACCGGACAGGCATCAATCCGTGTTTGCAATACAGCTTCTACAGTTACAAAGTAGCACAATCACACAAGTAAATTGAGTGGGAGTGGGAAAAGAAAAAGAAGGAAGGGAATAGGGGGAAGATGGTAGGAGGAAGAAAAACAGGGAAAGTTGCGTTTGAGTGTTGCGTGGTGTCTTTCTTTCCCTTTTCCTTCTCCCTCTTTCCCTTTTCCTCTTTCTATCCATATCCATGCGAACCTTGATGCAAGGCTATCCAGTGAAAAATGGTGGTGGTGGGCTGCCGCGAACCAAGAGTGTTGGGAGATTTCCATTATTATTTTTTGCAAAATATATCCACGAACGTTATTGTTGCATCTTATCTCCATCTTACCAGTCGAGGTTAATTTTTCAAAAGAAAAACAGGGAAAAGGGAAGGAAAAGCAAAAGAACACAACATCAAAAAAACCCTAATAGCACACACATTTGAAACCCCACCTGACCATCCCATCAAAACACCCCAACTGCACTCCCATCGAACCAACACCCCCCCCTAAACCCACCCTCTAAACCCGCATGTCTACCAAGTATGGTGCATCCGCCCACGGAGCATCCCATCCCATCTCCTCCTCAACATCCTCCCGCTCCACCCAAACAGCCTCTGGGCCTCTCATCATCGACGCCGCGCGTAACAAGATCACACGCGCCTGAGCCCGTTGCAAAGCCACACCCACAGCCGCTTTGAGCGATCCGAGCAAATAAGCCGAGAAACCCTTTCCCGTAGCTCGCGCCGCCCCTTTCGTTTTTGCCCTCTCGATCTGCGCGTCACCCTGCTTCTTAAGCCACCGTCCAAAACTCCCCCCCAAGCATCCCCATGTCTCAGCAATGAGAGGTGTGAACTGCACTCCCCTATGCCGCTGTAGAAAAGATTTGTAGTCCGCCGCCTTCCGCTTTTCTCTCTCTCTCGCGGCAAAACCCACCTTGCGACCAATCTGTCCATGGTGCTGCGCGGATAGCGAGATAGGGTCTACCACACTAACCTCCAGCGCGTGCTCCTCCCCCTCCCCCAGTCTCCGAACCGCCACATCAAAACTCTTCCCTTGAAGCAACGTGTCATCTTCATCCATGGTCACAATCCCACCCGCACCCTTAGCTATCTTCGCCACCACAAACTTAACCGCATCGTGAACACGAGAAGGTGCATACTGATACTTGCAGCGAAGGGCATGATGCGGGTCAGAGGGATCAGCAAACTCAAACCCACACGCGCACTTGCCGGCCACTATCAGCTGCTGTATAGGGAGGCCTAGGCGCATGGACGCGCAGATGCTCCACTCGGCTGCGGTGAAGGTAGCCTCCTCGTGCGAAGGGACGGCAGAAACCCACGCTTAGCCCCCGGGCCCTGAAGGGATGTCAAACGGGCCAAGGTGGCATCGTTGTGGGCCATGCCTCTAGGAGATTGGAGGCTCTCCACCGCTAAACAGGCGACGGTGTTGTGTGGAGAAGAGCAGCACAGGTGGGCCAGCAGTGCACAAGGCAAGGGGTGGCATCTCCTGCCGGACCGACTGTGGAAGCAGATTCACTGCTCTCACAAACGAGGGGTCCAACAAGGTCGTAGCCTCGGGCGTGCGGAAAAACTCCTCAAACATCCGCTCCTCACCTGCCACCCCAAACCGAGCCACCTTGCTCGCTGCTTGGCACCAGCCACATGCATACGACAGAGGACTAAGGTCAGCCGCAGATCGAATGCCGAACCCTCCGAGTCTGGCAGGAAGGTGCAGCTGTAAACGAGCCATCTGGGACTTCCCCGAATCGTGATCCCAGGTACTATCTGGAAACAGCTCCTCGAAACAATCTTCCAGCTTCGTGTCCCAGTCCCGAAAAGCCTCCACAACCTCAGGTCGTGGAGGCATCGTCCGTGTGAGGTAAATCGGGCGCGCTGACACTGCGATCGCCAGCAAATGGGACGCAATCTGTGGGTGGTCAAGTAGTGGAAGCCAAGGGACAGGTGCATGCAGCTCCGTCAGCCGGCGACGCAGGCTAGCCACCTCCCAGTCCTCCTCCCCAATGGGGACCCCTACCACAGTGAGCCCCGTCCATGTCTGCTGCATGCCGGGCGGGACGGTCTCATTTCTCTCCTCCCCATCCTGGTCCCTCCCTCGCTCCCATAGCTTACACTTATGCGGCTGCACCTCCAAACCCAGCCCGTCCAACCGTACCCGTAAGGCCTCATAGGCTGCTAAAACCCGCTCCCTAGGCCCCAGGATATACGTATCATCAGCATAGCTGAGGAAGAGTAAGTCGGCGTACTCCGTTTTGGTTGGTTCCATAACCAGCTGCTGTGTGAACGCAAACAAAAACGGACCCAATGGATCCCCTTGCCTCGAGCCCCGCTCGGAGGCCAAAGCTTCGACAAAAGGGCCCGCACGGAGATAGAGGTCGCTAGGAGTGCCATAGAAGACACGCAGAAATGGAATCAATCCCTTGAAAGGCGACTGTCGAAGACCTTCAAACATTTCCCCCCCGATGGAAGGATTTGAAAGCATTTGCCACGTCAATTTGCAGCGCGCACCACGACGGGTGAGTAGAGATGGCGGAGCGAAAGGCATGTGCGAGGACTTCCACTCCCGACCTGGACCCGACTCCAAACTGGTTACACGGAGCAAAGTGCGACATCATCTTCGGACGAAGCACGATGCATATGGCCCGAGATAGTATGCGGGGGAGCACCTCGCCTATAGCCACCGGGCGAACGTCACCATTCGGCTTCGACAGGCCCACCAGGTTGGACGGGTGAGCCAGGGTCGCACGCGCTCCGCTACTTCTCCTTGGTCCACTGGGTGAAGGTCTCTAGCAGGTAGGGCAGGTACGCGGGCTCAGAGAGAAAAGTGTCGCGCAGGTGCTCCGTCACCCACCCCGACGGTCCTGGTGCGGACGCCCTAGCCGCTGAGTGGATCGCCTGGCCGAGTACCTCCACTGAGAGCTGTGGGATAAGGGAAGGCTCGACTGTCTCCTCCTGCACCCACCCAGGAATGGCGGTCTCGCACGGTTTTGGGAATGTTGATACCGGTGGGTGTCAAAGTAGTAGATTAAGTTAAGACTAGGGTTTGGGGTAGGAAGAGACTTGGGAGAGCAACATGTTAAAGAGTTTAGCCAAAGAGGTTCAATAATGAGAGGTGGTATAAAGTTTTAGGCAAGAAACAAGTGGTGCACCACCAACAGTTTATAATAGCTACAATAAACTACAGCTACAAGCAGTCACAGATATATTCCAACAACAGGGTGTATGTGTGTCATGCGGTACCGAGTGAATCAACCTACATTGTTGTATGTCGGTTCGAAGCTGTTCACAACCACTAGCCACAAATCATAACCACTACCTTAGTATGGTACAGTGGTACCACTTCATAACACAAAACGCGTCTCCTAAATCACGTGTGCTATACACAGGACTGCGTTTCTGAAGATGCAACAACAGCAGCGAAGCAGTGCCTGTCGTGTCCACAGTCTCCCTTCTAGCAAGAGCAGTGAGCACCCATCAAGCACCCCTCACCTCAAACCCCCCCCCCCCCCCCCCCCCTCCCCCCCTTCCATCCGCCCCCCTTCCCCCACCCTTTTCCCCCTCCCCCCCCACTTGACCCTCTTCCCCCCCTTCCCCACCTCTCTCCCCCCACCTCCTTGCCCTGACCCTTATGCGGACTCAAGCAGACACTCAAGCATCAGCAGCAGCGGTGGCATGAGCGAGATTGTAGAGCAGCGCTGGTGCTGCTAGCAGTGCTCCCAGGAAGGCAGGGACGCCCAGGACGAGCTGTGAGAGAGGCGCCCCTGATGGTGAGAGAAGTGAAGTGCTCTCAAACAACCCCCTCAACCCCTCTAGCCTACCCCCCTCCCTCCTTCCCCCCTCCTCCCTCCCCCCCTCCCCATGTATCCCATTCTTCAGGCAGCAGTGGTGGTGGCAGCGGTGGCATGAGCGAGATTGTAAAGCAGCGCTGGTGCTGCCAGCAGCGCTCCCAGAAAGGCAGGGAGGCCCAGGACGAGCTGTGAGAGAGGCGCCCCTGATGGTGAGAAGACCACTTGCAGGGAGGCGGCGAGGAGGTATGAGAGAATGGCTGGGGTGATGGGTGGGAGGATGGGAGAGGGGGAGAGAGGGGGTGGGAGGTGATGAGTGGGAATGATTGGGGATGGAAAGAGAGGAATCGGGGTGGGGGGAGAGGAGAGGAGAGGAGAGGAGAGGAGAGGAGAGGAGAGGAGAGGAGACAGCAGTGGTGGCAGCAGTGGTGGCAGCAGTGGTGGCAGCAGTGGTGGCAGCAGTGGTGGCAGCAGTGGTGGCAGCAGTGGTGGCAGCAGGGATGGCAGCAGTGATGGCAGCAGGGATGGCAGCAGAGGTGGCGGCAGAGCCATGCTTCTCACACGTGATAGTGTGTGACGAGAGCAAGGGCCGCGAGGGCTGAAAAGACAGCAGAAATAAATGTTCTGAAATATAGATTCCGAAATTTATGTGACTGACTTTTGAGTCAACTCAAAAAGTCAACTCGCGATGGCAGCAGCAATATATTCTCCCCAACCCGTGATGGTGTGTGATGAGAGAAAGGGTTGCGAGGGCAGGAAGGAAGAAGACATGTGATGGTAGAAGCACGATGGCAGCAGTGGTATGGTTTTCTCACCAGTGATAGTGTGTGACGCGAGCACGGGTTGCGAGGGCAGGAGGGCGGACGCGAGCGCAAGCGCAGAGGCAGCGAGCAGAGCGGGAAGCACGGCGGGGAGAGAACGGGAGAGCAGCAACCGGACCACTGTGGAGACTGGGACGAATGGCGAGAGGGATGCGGAGGGAGTATGTTTCACATGCTGTGAGTTTGTTTCAAATGCCGTGAGTTCGATTGGCAAGAAATCTGGGGTTTGATTCGAAGATGACCCATGGGTAGCATGGCGGGAAGGGAGTGGGAGCGCGGTCGCGTGGCATGGCAATCAGACTACTGCACAGACTGGCAGGACATGGGGAAAGAGACAGCAGGATTTGGAGAAGTGCCAGGGATTCGAGGAATAGAGAGACAGGGAGATAGGGAGACAGGGAGATAGGAGTCTCGAGATAGGGGAGCAGTGGGCGGAAGGGGAGGAATGAACAGGGAGACCTCGCATCGTGCCCACATCGCATCGCATCATCTGTTGTGCCCTTCCGGTCACTATTCATTCCTCTTACTCTTTCCTGTTTGTAGCTATCAATCTCTTCTTCCCCTTCACTCCTTTCTCCCCTCCTATTACTGCCCCTACCCTTTCCTCCCTTCCCGCTTCCCCATTCTTCTCCCCCCCCTTTCCCCCTCTACCCCCCCCCGCCCCCTTTTCCCCACAACCCTTCACGCCCCCCTTCCTCCCCAACCCGTCCCGCCCGCCACCCTCCCCTCACGCGCGCACCTGCAACAGCGACCGCCACTGCCCCCACAGAAACCCACACGCGCGCCAGCGACCTCGACACCCCCCCAAGCCCCCGCTCCGCCCATCCCCACATAAACGCCCCCCCGCGCTCCCTGACCGCGCCCTCCGCGGCGGAAAGAGCCGCGGACAGCAAGGGTGGCGCCGCGGGGGAGGCGGAGGCGGAGGGGGAGGGGGAGGCAGTCGGCGGCGCGGGGGAGGTGGTGCGCGCGGAGGGTTTGGGCGGAGCCTCCGGCGCTGTGGTGAGGCGAATGCCGTACGGCTGTGGGCTGACATAGCTGGGGGAGAGATCACGCACGCGGAGGGGGTTGGCAAGCGAGCGGAAACGAGAGGGCGTGAAGGGGACGAGTGATGATGAGGTGAACGAGAGGAGATGGGAGGGACGTAAAAAGGGACTTCTCGCTTGGAAAAAGGATAATCTAAGCAAAAAACTGGAAATCCTGAAGGCAGCAATGGATGGAAGAGAATGAGATCTGTTCATAACGATCGCACAAGCGACACCGTGCGACAAAGCTCACCTCCTCGGCGACGCATAGTCGCTCGGAGATTGATACAACCACGGGTTCCGGAACTCAATCTTCGAGTCGCCGCGCTTCGGACCCTGCTTCGTCTTTCCCCCGCTACTGGCGCCGGTCGCAGGTCTAGAGGAGGGCCGTGCAGCAGGGGCATGGCTGCCCGCGATACTCGCCGCATCTTCCGCAGAAGGACTCGAGTAGCCTGGGATGCCGTAACTCGGAAACGCCGCCGTTGCTGTTACCGTTACCGTCGACGATCGCTTGTTGGCGCTACGAGGGTAGTGCCCTGAGAGTCGTAGTAAGTTCGGCGAAAGAGTAGACGGACTCCTGAACGGGTTTGAAGTGCGAGTGCGACTTTGTCTAAGCACGTGCGACGGCCCTGCGGCGGGAGCGGCGGACTCCGCCGAAAGTAGTAATAAGCGGCGCGAGGAAGCGGAAACCGCAAAGGAGGTTCGCGATCCGCAGCCACCATGGCCGGAAGTCGCGGCGGGCTGTGCGGAGGCGAGCGGCGAAGCGAGAGCGCCGTTTTGTACGGAAGCGAGGACTGCCATCGCGTACTTCGGGACTACTTTGCTGCTGCTGCGGCGGCGACGGCGGCGGCGGCGGCAGCTATGTAGCGATACGACTGGAAACTGCAGCTACTGAGGAGTGTGGCGTCCTACTGCATGGAGGGAAACAGGTCGTAGAAATGCTGTATGTGTATGGGTTTGTGCGTGGTGGATCTGGGGCTGAAGCTGCGATCGAATAAAGGAATGGTTGGAATGATTCAATATCGGTTTATAACGGTTTCCACTGTCCTTGTATGTGATTTCCCCAGCCACGTGGCCGTGCGCGGGTTTTGGCTTGCGCAATTCGAAAAACGGGGCGGGGTGAAACGGGGAAGCGGGAACGTCAGTGGGATGGGTGGAGAGGAGGGAGGGGAGGGGAGCGGAAGTGGGGAGGCTCTGTTGTACTGTACCGGGCCGTCTTAGCGCGCCATAGAGCGGAATGGCGCGGGCTTGGAATGGGAAAGGGGCGGGTGCTGAGCATCTGCGGAGAGAATCAATGTGGAACCGCGCGGTGCGGAACTCGAATTTGCGATCCGCGAAATTTGCGTGAAATCGATGTGCGAGGGAAGGCATTGGAGGACTGCCATGTCACCATGAATCAGCGCGAGACCTCGATCAAGGGCACGTGGCAGAACATCACAAGCCAGAGAGACCAAGAAAACTTCCCGTGACCCAAAGCAGTCGGTCCTCGTTTGAAGAATCCGAACAGGGGAGTACAGTACAAAGCGTTGTTCCCATTTGCATTGTATTCTGGTACTGTAAGCTAGTCTTCGCGAAATTCGAGCAACATTTCTGCAGCCCCACTCCTCACGCATGTGTGCACCTCGTAGTAAAGGCTGAAGCTTTGCGACGCACACTAGGGCGCACGGCGACAATGGCGACGGCGAACACCGTCCTTTTTCCCCCGCTCGCACGCATCTCGTGGCCGCAGGACGCGGCTGCCACGGCTCGCACGGTCCCCCATTTCCGTCAGGAATTTAACTCGTTCACGAGAAATAAAAACCAACAACGAATACAATTCACCGTCGAGCAAGCCCAACTGAACCGACGAGCAGTATCGGCCCTCAGAATCCGATGCGCGGGATCGTCCGACGATCATACCAGCCGCGCATCCTCCCAGAATCCCCAAATCTCCTCTTCCTCCGCGCCATCTCCCAGCCCTCCGCCAGGCGTTTCCCCCCGTCCTTCCGCCAGCCCTTCCGCCAGCCCTTCCGCGCGCCTTCCGCTCGGCTCACCCCCCGAGTACCGCGATTCCTTCACCGATCTCTTATTCATCCACCTCTGCCGCCAAGCCTTCGGGCGCGTTGCGCAATGGCAGTCCGCGCGCCCGTGGGCGGAGGGCTACCTAGGCATGGTCGAGGTCTCCCGCGCGCTCATGCGCGGGCGCTCCGCGGAGGCGCAGCGTTCCGCGGTGCTGCAGGGCTTTCCGCGCGTCCCCGCGTGGTTCCGCCGCGCGTTCCCCTTCTCGCACTGGGGCGCGGAAGCGAACGCGGCAATCACTCCGCGGTTCTTCTCCTGGCTTGTGGGCCCATGCCACGTGGAAGAAGCAGAGATCCCCGCGGTTGACGAGCGCCGCAGTCGCAGCGGAGCGGCGGCGGGGGAGGGGGAGAAGCGGGAGGATGCGGAGAAGGGGGAGAAAGGGGAGGCGGGGGGTGGGGCAAGGGGGAAACGGTGAAGTTGCAGTGTGGTGTGAGGATAGAGAGGTGTAGGTATCTGGAGACGAGTGGGTGTGTGGGCATGTGCGTTAACCTGTGCAAGATGCCCACTCAGCACTTCTTCACGCATGAACTCGGGTACGTTACCGCGTCACAGCGTTTCCACGATTCAGCGTTACTGCGTTACTGTGTTACAGTGTTAGTGCATTGAGGCATTACGGAACTACAGCGTTACAGGACTACAGTGTTTCAGTGCTTCACGAGGTGTTCGAATGGAGGCGAAAATCCTAAAAGGAGGTGAAGGGGATGCATGGGTTGGAAGGTGGGGTGACTGGATTAGGCCAGATAAGCAAGGGAGTGAGTGTTGCATGTCCTACCCGGACACTCATATCTCTCCTTTTCTCCTCTGCTTTATTTCCCTCTCAACCTCTTCACCTCATGGCAGTGTTCCGCTCACCATGGAGCCCAATTTCGAGGACTTCAGCTGCCGCATGGTGTTTGGCCTCCCTCCTCCACCCCCATCCTTGGACCCTGCTCTCCAGCAACCATGCATTGCCATGTCGTGCCCTGCAGCTAGATTAGATACGGATGAGCCGTGTCACCAGCTTCGGTGACATCTTTCTTGTGAACCTGAGCCAGTACGGTACTGGCGATGAATACAGTGTGTGTTTACTTGGTGAATACAGTGGCGATGAATACAGTGTGTGTGCGATGAATACCGTACGTGTGTGCACCAACTGCAAAGGTGATGGGGCATAGGAGTAGGTTCACCGTCAGTAACAGTGAGTGATGACACTAGATTTGGGGAAACAATAGCTATTGTTTTGATTACACACCCAAACAACGTCAAGAGAAATATTATTACGCCTATTTACCGTATATTGTTTGGACGTAATATTGTTGATTCCAGAGATGATGAAAGTTTGCTGGATTGAAACATCTCTACCTGAGCTCGTGTAAAAAGGTTTTGCATATCGGGTATAGATGCTCAGCTTCGTGGTTGGAGAGCTTGCGTATATAGCAGGCGAACAAAGGCGATGGGCGGCTACCCGTTTTGGCGCGAGAACTCTCTCCTCCAGCCTTCATGCGAAGTGTGGGCAGACGCCGACGAGCGAAACTGAATGTCCATGTGTAACTGTCACTGTTGGACATCCCTCCGACCAATCTCAAGGATCCATGCGCGCGCCGCAAAACAGCCGAACCGCTATCTGCGCGTCGCGCCCCGCGAAATTGTCGACAGGCTGATTTTGGTGGAGGTGTTGTGGGGACATTGGGAAAATACAGAGTGGTCGGATCACAGGGGAGATGAGACCTCTCGAAAGCAGGAATTGCGTAGGGGGAGGGGGTATGCATGGAGAGAAAGCCTGAGGGAGGGCGTGCTGCTGGGGTGAGCAGGAGAGGCCTATTCGTGCCCGACCATCACAATCGGCCCTCACAACTAGCCTGCGCAGATCTCTTGGCCTCTTTCCGCGAAGCCTGTGCGTGACGTACTGAACGAGGTAAACCGCCCTCTGTGCTTTGTACGACGCGCCTCGGAGAAACAAACTATATATGCAGCCTTTTGCCACGCCAATTAGCGACATCGTTGTTTACACTCCCTGTTAGCATCGACGTTTACCGCAGCCTACCACTTTCTTACCTGTCTCGTTTGACCAAGTCGGTCAAGCTCTTTTGGAAATTTACGAATTCATTTTATCTTTACTTAGACCTGTAGCCTAATAGTATCCATACAGCCAGCACTCATCCGTCCTCGCAGCGCGAATCATCATGGCTTCCTCCTCGCTACTCGTTCTTTCTGTCGCGCTGGCGGCTGTCCTCCTCACTGTCGTGTGTGCGACCCATGCGACAGCGGCGGCGACCTCTGGTGCGACATTTCCTTCACTCTATCACCCTCTACACTATTCAATAAATACGACGTGCCGTGTTTGGCGTTTGGAGGGATGTCGTCACGACCTCCCCTTCCCATCAGTGCATCGGTACTCCCTTACTCCCTCACTTCCTTACGTGGCTACGAATCTTCCTTACTCTCCCGCGTCTCTACCATGCGTGGCAGACCAATGCGCGGCGGTGCGATGCATGACGAACCGCAAGTGCAGGGTGGTGGACGGGTCCCCGCGGTGCGTGTGCGAGCCGCCGTACTACCTCGACGGGGACGAGTGCAGAGGTGAGCTGAGCACTGCCTCACAGCTCGTCGTTTCGCCATACTCCCTCGCATCCCGTTTCGCACCATAAAACCGCCCTTCTCCATGCACTGTGACAAACTCCGAAACGTGACGGTGTCTAATTTCTTCTGGAAGGATCTTCTTTCGTTGCTGCTCCTGCTCCTGCTCCTGCTGCTGCTGCTGCTGCTGTATGTGTCAGATCTGTGTCTGACGACCAAGTGCCCTGGCGGAACCACGTGCAAGGTGGTGGGGGACAAGGTCAAGTGCGTCTGCCCGCCTCCCCTTGTGCTCCGCAACGGCGTGTGTTTCGGTGAGTGCAGCGTTGGTGTGTGCCGTGCTGTGCCGATTCCGTGAAACCGCGGCACTGCTCATTCAGAGCGGCGTATCCGCGCTGGCCTTACGAGACCGGCCTCCAAACCTGTTGTGTTGTTCAAGGGTACTTAATATGTTCTTTCGTGATCGTGGTTTCGCAGACCTGTGCGCGGCCACCACGTGTCCCGTCAATTTCGCATGCAAGGTGGCCAATGGTACGGCCAAGTGCGTGTGTCGGCCGCCGTTCTACCTCGACGGAAACGAGTGCAGGGGTAAGTGTCCACTTCTGAATGTCCAAGCCTGTCCCCTCTAGACCTCGTTCAGTTCGCCTCCAATCCCAGCATGTCCCCTCCCTCTGCTCGTTCCGTTGATATGATGTAGTACCGCCGTCACTGATTGCATTGATTGCGGGATCATCTTTCTCTTGCTACGTGTACGCGCGTCTTGCAGACCGTTGTCTGACGACCAAGTGCCCTGGCGGCACCACGTGCAAGGCGGTGCGCGGAAAGATCCAGTGCGTTTGCCCGCCTCCGCAAGTGCTCAACGGGACGCAATGTGTTGGTACGTCAGGTTTGCAGGACTCTCCAATACGATTCGCAGTTTTCTTACTCAGAAACGTACTTTGCATCTTGTTTTTTTACTTTGTTCTTTCCTTTCATCAGCTCCAACCTCCTGCAACAAAGTTCGCTGTCCCTCAGCTTCTCGCTGCAACGTGGTTTCTGGTGCCGCTACGTGTGTCTGTCCTCGCGGTTTTACTCTAATCGATGGCGAATGCAAGAGTGAGTAAAAAATCGACAGTAATTTTTTAATGTCAGGCGAATGGTCTGGCGCATAATGCTGATGGATAGTTTGGTGTTGACACTTCATTATTTCATTCAGATGCTTGTGCGACCGTGCTGTGTGGTGGGAAGAAGACGTGCAAGGTCGTTGGTGGACAGGCTAAGTGTTTGTGACATGGAAGAATGTAGTTGTAAATGTGTAGGTAGTTGTCTCAGGAAAGTTCTTGTTGCCTCCTCTTTGTTATTATTTCTTCAACAGCCTTCAAACAGCTCGTCTGTATCTGTACAAGAAACTGTACATTCTAAGCCTGGATTTCACGCACTATACAGGAATCCCCTCTTCCAATCTCATCAGCGCCTCCCACTAAACCATTCCCTACACCCTACTCCTTGGGCTGAGTGCGGTACTTGGACTCGTCAATCTCAATGCCCTGCTCCTTGGCAGCCTCCTCGCCGCTCTTCTCCATGGTAGACAGCCCACCCTTGCGTCCCATCTCCTGGTACCCCTCCCGCCCTAAATCCTCCGCTCGCGAGCGCCCTCCCTTGGCCCTCCCTGAAGGAAAAAAAAAAAAACAAATTAGGTTGAATAAAATGATGTTCAGATAGAGCAACGACCAGCGAGACTTGAGTGTCAGGAATGGTGAAACTGTTGAGAAGGAATGGAGGCGTTGACGTTGCACCTACCTTCAGCAAGGTGGATTTGAGCTTCCAGAGATTTTCCTCCAGTGCCCCCCTGGACCACTGTCTCGCCCTCCTTCACTCGCTGCTCAAGCTCCTGTAAACGCGGACATGAAATAGCCAGAAAAGGAGGAGAAGGTAATAAGTGTTTGCAGGTGTGCACAAAGGATCGACAGTCCTGCGTGTTTGCAAACGAGCACATCACTCATTAAAATGGAAAGTTAGACGGGATCACCTCTTTCTCCTCTGGCGAAGCCTTATTGATCTCCTGTGCCTGCTCGTAAGCTCCCGACATGGCTACGAAATGAGAGAGACGATCAAAACAAATCTTGGGCGGAAGAAGCAACGTCAGACGATCAGTGTTTGAAAAACTGGGCCCCCCTTTGTACAGGCGATAGAAAGGGAGCAGGCGAAACCGCGCAAGGGCCACATGCACGCGGCTCGTTAGGCGATCTGCCAAGAAGTCGAGGGCATGCAACACTTGTGCGTGGCGAAGAAATCCGCACAGGAAGGCACGTGGAGGTCCAAAATCGTTTCCGTTATTGTTCAATATGTATGTTCGCACATTTCAAAGAAAACCGTCGCGAAATGTAGTAACAGTCGTATGTAGATTAACCATCTGTTATGCCTCTATGCAATTATCGTGCAGATTCTCCATCACAGGCCTAATCGGTCTCGAATATGTTTAAGCGATTTCATTCCCTATAGAGATCACACATATGCAATATTGGGCCATTCTTGAAAATCCGAGTTATTTGCATGAGAATCGTCAATCAGCCACGAAAAAACATTATGGCCATCAGAATTTCAAAGGAGGGTTACTGCCATCTTAGTCTGTTCGCTGGACGCAAGAACCATTAACACGGATGTCTATAGAGCACTGTGCGAACTTGGTCGGGTGTTACTGTAGTTGAAACTGTTTCTCGATGGACGAGGAACAAACATCAACGTTTCTTGTCGACGTCTGTTTCTCACAGTGTACAGTGCAAAACATCTTTTTGTTCTTTGATAACCGTTCGAACGAACGCGACAAGAACTCCCGAGACCTCGGCTCTAGCAACTAACGCGTGCAGCCACGCTTATCTGTCTGTTAGATTGCTCCAAGAGCGTCCCTTCCCAAGCCGCCCAAGCCGTCGCACGCTTGTCACACATTTGAGAGCTTATTGGCAGTGCTGTATCTGCTCATCATAAACTTTAACTTTAACGTTATTTTTTTTTCATGAAAGTCGTTCCTTCTGCCCTTGAAATATCTCTTGCGGTGAGAAATGAGCATGGGGGAACGAAACAGCCAATAAGTGCTTGAGGAAATCGATGTGCTGGATCACCCCCAATGTACGCGACGTGAAACAATCTGACTTTGGGTTCGGGTTGGTGCACGAGTGCGAAATGTGGCTGCCACCATTGAATGATGCGACAGGTCTTCTACAGATGTTCTCGCTTAAGATCCATCGCTAAGACCGTTTTCAGAAACGAGTAGCTTTTGCCACAAATTCCTAGGGTAATCCCGTCCTATACAGTCCCCTTGCGGGCGGCTCTAAATGAACAGTGTGGAATCACAGCTGGGCGCTGTAGAACGTTTCAGAAAGGGAACCAATCACAAGGCGCCCTCAGATTGCATGAAGGCGCGTGAAGTGTGAACTTTCTAGAAAAATCACACTCGCGAAACTTGAAAGCATCATCATTCTGTTGCTTGTCACATCCTCACGCCCGCTCCCTTCGCCTTTTCGTTCGTCTCGCGTGCCCTTTCCCTCAGGAGACCAGACCAGAGTGCTGCAGTTCGAACTGCGGGGCTGCACCATTCAAAATGCAAATTGTTTCTGCGTGACTCGCTACATCTCGGGACGCATTTCCACTCTTGCTCGCGCCGCCTACTCACTAACGAGCACCGGCTTCACCACCACCTCCAGTTTTGGCGCGAAAGGGACACTTCCGCTGTACAAGCAATGATTACAGGCATCAGCTTGGAAGCACGCATAGCGACGTAGGTTGCGCATGCGCGCTCCGATTCTTCTTTCGATTTTCTAGCTTTTGTCGGCTTCGTTTAGTCGCGTATGCTGGCCATCCCTGTGGAAAACCGCTTCGTCTCAATAAACTGAGGAAAAACCCGAGCGAGGCCCCCCACCGTAACACTCGAGAGCCGGACTCAAGGGAGTGACTTGGGGAACAAAAAAAAAAGAAAGATTTATTTTCCAAGGACCGCCGAACGAGACACTGGCTGTTCGTAAGGGGGGGTGGCCAGCGCGACAGGGCGACAGAATCCAATGCCGCCCCTACAGTACGCTCAAGAAAAAAGTTCCGCGCGCGACGGGATGAAAAAAATCGCGGGCCATTGCTGCTGGCACGGTACAGTGCACTGTAGACGTTCTTCGGTTTACGCCTCGGGGCGATCGCCTTTCCCCCGTTGCTTCTCTCCGCCATACCGCCATATCCCCTTCGATGCAACGAGAAACGAGCTTCAAGGACGGACGTTCCTACCCGCGAAAAACGCTCCAACAGTGGTCGCGGTGCACCCCAGCTGCCTGCCTACAATGCAAAAGGAAACCTCCCGAGCTTGGAAGGCTCTTTCTGGAATAATGCTCTTCCAGTCACACCACTAGTAGTTATATGATCATAGCGGAGTCCTCTGCGGTAGTTCTGCGGGAGTTCCGCGAGAAACGGTCGTTTCGGAGTCCTCTCATACGGATTGATCCTTACGCGTCCTCCGAGCTCCAGGTCTGAAATTGAGACTCTCGTTTAGAGGAATAATTCAGCCCAGGAGTTAAATCTCGCCGAATTTCCTTGCGCGACTCGACGAAGATGTGGGGTGCGAGTGACCGGCGACGCCGGCCCGCTAGTACTAGCGGCTCTGGAGTTTAACGACTTTTGAAGTCTGTGTTAGTATCGGAAATTACCACGGGCCGGCAGCGGGAGGCGCGGTCACGCGGCAATCCTTCCTGCGATACTAGTTCTTCCAATCGACCTTTGGCGGGACTGAACGGAATTTTACGCGACTTCACTCGACTCGAGTCGGACTCGGTGTCGCATGAGCGATACGCGACAGCATGGGCGACGCGTCACACGAACAATTTGGCCGCGCTGCGGCCGATGCCGATCCAAGAACTGACGTTGCGGTTGCGGCGGCGGCGGCGGCGGCGGCGGCGGCGGCGACGGTCGCTGGAGGTACTACTACTAGCCGCAGCGACTCCGCTGGCCGGGCGCCCTGGTCGGCGACTCTCGCGTCATCGCAACAGCAGTCGCAGCGGCAGTCGCAATTTATAGCCTGCTGGCCAGAGGCGGCGCCGGCGGACGTCGCGGCGCGTAAACAGCCGCGGCGGAATTCACGGCGAAAAATGCCCACCCAATCGGAGTGGCCAACGGCTTCAAGAACCTCCGGATCCGTCGCGGCTCGAGCCGGCGCCGCCGGCGGTAACTCGACGGAGCGCCCCCTTACTATAAAGGAGGACTACTCGACGGTGTCGGCGGCGCCGGCGGCGCCGGCGCCGGGGGCGGCCAACTTCAGGCTGAGCTTCAACTCCGATAACGTGTCCGCGTTGCAAGCAGCTCCGTCGGTGGCGCTAGTAGTACCGTCACCAGCACAGGCCTTCGCACAGGGTGCGGCGCCGGCAGCGGCGGCGGCGACGGCGGCGTCGCAGGCGCTACGCGATCTTGCCGTGATTCAAGCGGCGCTCGATGCTTTCGCCGAAAGTCGCAGCGACCGGCAGCGGCGGCGGCGGCGGCGGCGGCGCGAAAGGGGTCGATCCCGATACCAGGACGGCGGCGGCGGCCCCCGCATGGGGAGAACTGCGCGCGATTGGCGGCGCCGCGATCCCGATACCAAGCAGCTCCGGGCTGCCGCTGCTGCTGCTGCCGCCGCCGCCGCCGCCGCCGCTCTACTCTGTCACCAGCGCCGCCGCCGCCGCGGCCGCAGCCATTGCAATTAATCTCCCGATCGATCATACCAGCCCTAGTGGCGGCGCTTCCGTCGGCGGAATCAGCTGCGGAGGGGGGAGCGGAAACGGCGCGTTGTTCCCGAAACGGGAGCGCGAGGCGGAGCGGGAAAGAGCGGCCGTCGGGACCGCCTGTTCAAGCGGAGGCGCCGCGGGTACGTGGAGCCCCAGGCGGCGCGTGACGCGGATGTGGCAGGGGAGTAGCGCGGGAGGCGCGGGAGGCGCGGGAGGCGCGGGAGGCGCGGGAGGCGCGGGAGGCGCGCCTGCAGGAGGCGAAAACGCGCCCGTCTCGAGTGGCGGCGGCGGTAGCGGCGGCGGTGGCGGTGGCGGTGGCTGCGGCAGTGGTGGTGGTGACGGCGGCGGAAGTGACGGAAGCGGCAGAAATGGTGGCTTCGGTGGGGGCGGCAGCGCGGGGTTCAGGGGTTTAGAGGCGTGGTATCCCCGAGCAAGCCTGCTCCGACCAGCTGACGTGGCTCCTGCCGGCGCCACTGGTACTGCTGCTGGTGCTGCTGCTGCTGCTGCTGCTGGTGGCAGCGAAAGGAACGACAACATCATGCCCGATCAGAGTGC